AAAATAAAGCAACTATAAAATTTTCTAAACATTTATGATAAAAACAAAATTTGTCTAATCACCACATCACGCCTTTGACGAATTGCCTATTTACTTGTCTTGTGAACTTCATTTTTGCTTGTTTTTTGGGAATAATTTTGCCTGTAATTTCACTAAAGATTCATTTTAATTTCATAGTTTTTGTTAAAACCTAAAAAAAACCATATATCATATCATAATTAAAGAAATGTTTAAAAACACTGCTAAATTTCTGATAATTCTAATATGTTCATTTCCCATTGTGTCAGCAAGACTACTACTTTATAGTATGTTTAATTTCGGAATAGAAACGTATGTTCCCTATATAGTTGTCACCGGAGTTCTTTTATTAGCATTTATTCCAATACATAAGAAACTAAAAAAGTTAAGAATGACAATTCATTTAATGCTAAGTATATTCACAGCGTTAATTTTTCCACCTTTATTCTTTTATATAATGCAAGGCCTTAACACGTTCGTAATAGTTTTGATAGCCTTTAATAGTTCACTTTTAGCAAGTTGGATAGTAGTATCGCTAATTTATAAATGTACAGAAAATAAGCAAATGACAAATATTGTCCAAGGAATTTTGTCAATTCTCATATTTTGTATTTTTCCACCTTTATTTTCATATGCATTTGATGGTTTTAGCAAGTTAACGATACTTATTGCAGCTTTCGATTGGACATTAATCGTGTTATTTATAATATCACGGCTATGTGAGCCAACGTTATGTCCTATAATGTTTATACCTTTTATGTTAGTTTTTATGATTTTTTTACCTTTATTTTTTTATGTAACAGATAGTTTTAATAGCGTATCAATAATTTTTTTAATCTTATTTGAATGTTACTTTTTAGTTTTTATGATTGGAATGATCTTTTCATTCTGTGGATTTGAACCAGGATTTATATTTTTTATGATTTCTGGTTTAATAATCTTAGCAATTTTTATTTATTCTTTAGTACTTCTAATCCAATATTTAATTAAGAATGGTTTAGATACTTTCTATATTGTAATTACGATTATTAATTTGGTGGTAGTGTGTTGTATTAAAATCTGTGGACCTACAATAGGCTATGTTGCAGCTGGACTTGATTATTATATGCTTTTTTATGGACTTCAGGACAAAATCAATTCGGTTTCGCTTTTACTTTTCTGGTCTGATTTATGGGTTATACTAGTTTCTATTTATGTTTACTGGGAAAAATTTTTAAATGGTGAAGAGCAAGAAGAGCAAGAAGAACCTGAATTCGATATTCAAAATTTCTTGCCAGATTCGTTTAGATGGTGAAGAGCAGAAGAATTTGATCTTCAAAATTCATGCCAGATTAGGTTGTTAAACCAGATCTAATTTATATCGACTAGCGAGAACCCGTGCCGTTGAGCATGGGGCAAGGGCTGTTAAAAGTTTAATGCTTTTAGTCTAGACTCCGTAAATAGGACTATATAATAAGAAAATGATTCTTGAGTTTTTGCATATAATACGCATTATTTTATTACTAACTAATAAATATTCATGAACCTAAATACTCCGGGTCTTGTATATTACTCCAATTTTTAAATCCTTTAGTATACCCGCGTTCTAGTACTTGCCCAGATCTTATGACGTGAAAAAAATTTAAAGTTTTTAAACACCTTATTTTATAATAGACATTCTAGTTATTTGAAAAAAACTGCATTTAATTAATAAGATTCTGTTGTTCACGCCCGGGTCTAATTCATGGTGGTTTACTATTTTGGGGGATCTTGTATATGAACTTTTATTATAAATGAGCTTCATTCCAGTATTCTCATGCACTAGATTAATGCATGTTGACAAGGGTCAACGGATCGAAAAGAAAGGAAAGAACTGGTCAGGGGTTACACGCCATGTGCTACAACCCGTGCCCTCAAATCATGGGGCGAATGGCAGGGATCAGGATCAAAGAACGAATCAATTAATAATCGATTAATTAAATTGCATGAATCAACACGCATAAGCCGACCACGATCAATATATAAACAGCCGACGATTTCGACACTCTTTCCCACTTCGACACAATAGTCTTCGGCAAACAAATTTCTCGACCCACCTCTCCCTTCGCATACTGTAATCTCCTGATTCTGCCATTTTCCTATTTAACAGTCAGCCTGCTTCGAGTAGGCGGGAAACCACCAGCTGATGCTGCTTCTCGCTCGTTCTACTTCTCGCTCATTCTACTGTTACAATGATACCTGGAGCAATCTCACTTGCCAATTTCTGGGAGCATATCATCGTTTCAGTTCGATTTACTTAGCTAAAATT